TTCAAACCAGTTAGAATTCAGTAAGAAATGAATGCCAGCAATTATATGACTAGCTAGTAAATATAATTTCATGGTATTTTGTAAGATATCCCAAAGTGTTAATTGTAACAGGAGCAGTTAAATTCTTTAGACCAGTCAAATTCTTTGGGTATGAAAGCATAACAGTTTTAATCACCTGGTAACTTTGGCCATTATTAAATATATGGAGATTGGAAGACATGGTAGAAGCAATGGAAAAGTCTGGCCAGACTGAGTCATTTGTTTTAGACCTATGGAGAAATCTATTAACCATTTCTTCTATAGACCAATTTGATTAGGAAGTAGGACAAGCTGTTCTTTCATTACTTACCAAAACCATACTGCACTTTGTATCAATTATTTGGCTGTCTGCAGCACATAGATTAGAATAAAGGGCTTTCTTAGTGTTTGTGAATGTTGTGGATTGCTGATTAGTAATTAAAGTCCCGAATGAAGAAAACTAGGCCAAAATTGAATGGGAATGAGAAAGTCTTAATTCTGTGATACAGATGTTAGAAACAGATTGTGTGAGCAGCCCATTCAACATGGTGACATTCTACATAGCCATGGAGTGCTTGCCTTCCATGTAAAACTCAAGTCAAATGCCTTAGAGATGGCTTCCTCTCCCGTGCCTTGTGATGTAGCTGTATGGGTATTAATTTAGTGAAATATCCTGTCTGCCAGGTGTGGGAACTAGCTGATTTTATTGTAATACCAGATCATTACTTAATTCATATGCAACAGAGTGCAGCACATGGAAAGCATTATAAATCTATTTACAATGTGGCTGGTCTGATGATAACATTGTATTAAATTCCCAGGTGAGGCAATTTAAGCAATTGCTTTGCCATGTGCACGCGGTGGAAATTAAATTCTCATATACGCTTTAGTAATAAACCAACTGCATTGTTATGCTTATGCTAGTGCTAGGTTGTAGAATCCTCATTCTGGCTATGCATATACCCTGTTTCACACGCAGAAGCATATAGGAGGCTGCACCACAGAGCTCAGTTCTTAATTAGTTTCGGCTAAGTTAATTCATTTTGTTTCTAGTTTAGCAGTGCCTGTCCAGAAACATATTCAGTTCAGTTGGGAAACATTAAGGCTTGGGTCAAGTAGACAGATTGTTTCAAGCCAGATTTCCAGACAGAACTGGGCAAGTGTATCTGTTTGAACCTGGCTTTAAGAAAATCAGCCAATCAGTATGCATATACCAAGTAAAAACTGCTTGGAATTAAAAATTCTCACTTTCATAACCAAAGATTCATTTTTGTCATCAGTTTAAAAAAGGCATTGAAACTTTGTGTGTCAGACTTTTTAGGGATAATAACCAAAAGCTAATTTGCCATATTTTGTCTATAATTCTGTCAATTTTTTCTGCCCAACTGTGTCTAGTCCACCTAAGTGTAGTATAAGTTAGAAGGAATAAGCTTTACACAAAACACACCTAAAAGTGAGGAATGCTCTTGTATTTAATTCTGTGAGTGTGTGTGTATGTTTGTGTGTGTGCATCTATGTGTGTCTGTGTGTGTGGCAAAAATTGTCAGTCGAAGCTTTCCACCCTTATGGTACAGACCTGAAGTTGCAATAGATTACAAACTGCATAGAGCTTCTGTCTTCTCCAGAAGCCACATAGAAAGCACCAGTAGACAGTGGTAACTGACAACTAAGACTAAAAATGTTGACAATTTCTTGATTTGCCTGGTTAGCTTATGTATAGAAGTCATTAACTATTTATAAAATGCATTATGAATTGGGTTCCTTCAAACTGTAGCTGAGTGTGTGACATTTCCAGCTCAAATTCTCATGCTTGCATTTGGCTAAAGTACAGATTTTATACACTGATAATAAAGTAAAAATATTTTAGTTAATCAAGATATAGTAGGTGTTTCAATTTCATTAACTTTAAATCATATGAATTAAAATATACATAGTACTTAGTAATGTAGAGTGAGGTTATTAAAAATTCCACAAAAGGTAAAATTATTTATTGATGCTTTGGAAGGAAACTATCCGTACAACAAGCAGTTTGTCATTCAAAGCAATTTGCCTTTTTTGGTATTCAGTCAGTTCAGTGATGACCCTGCAGGCTAAATTATGGCTGATTACAATCAGCTTAGCTTACTTAAAATTTCAAACCACAAAAATATTAGGAGAAAATAAAATGTCAGGCATTTAAATATAACTATCAGTAAAACGAAGTCTTGCTTTTAAAAAATATATATTTGTAAAATGGTACTCAAGTGTAGAGAGTTCAGTTTTCTGCATCGATTGTGTCGTTTTCATGAGGAACTATTTCTGATACTGGGAATGAGTTTTTTTTATTCTTTAAGAGAAGTTAGTCCGATCAGAGGACATTTCATAAACTCAGCACATCATTTGCCTAATTACATCCAGAAAGCCATCCAAATGACCAGTGTTTACTGTCCCGATAGTAAAGACTGACATTTATAGAGACCACCCTTCAACTGTGGATAAATCCGTAGTTCTCCTCTGTTGCTACGCATGTACACTCTTAATTGCTGGTTTTCAAAAGCAATGGATTCTCACCGAAGCAAGATTAGATATTTAGGGATACATGTTTGTAATTTTCTTCTTCTTTTGAAGTTTAGCAAATCAAAATGAGAATATAATGTAATTGAACAATCTATGCCAATTTGTTGGTATTTTGGTGAAAGGGGAAAAAACAAAAACAATCGCCATATGATATCCTTGCATACTGTGGAATGTTTTAGTCCCCCATAGTGATGAAATGAATAATTAAAAAGTCAGCTCTGATACCACAGCCTGTTTAAAGGTTCTCATTTCCTTTAATGCTGTAAAACACTTTTGCTTAGCTAGTTTGAAACTACTGTAGTGGGCAATCTCCAAATGGGCAAAAGAAAGGTTTGGCTTCATCTAAATATTATAGTAAGGCCATGAGGTGTACTGACCTTGCAGCTCAGCATTTTCCAGTATAATTCTGCACGAAGCCAATCGAAATAACAGTACGTTCAGTAAATACAATAAGAGAAGTAGGCTTAATATATGCTGTTTGTGGTGGTGAGAAGTCTGGCGTGTTCACAAAATGAATGAGTTGGCTCACCCTGAATTGTTAAGACATCTGATATAGATGTCATTACTGACCTCAGGCTAATGACTGAACTTCCAGTACTTTGTCCTCCAAAACATTGTTGGTTTTGTTTACCTATTTACCGACTTGCTACAAGAGAAGGGGGACTTGAGGTAGAGACTCAGGGCAGAGAAGGGAGGCCATCATCTCCTTTCTGCAGAAACATTTTGCAATTTTTGCATCTTTTTCCGGAGTGTATTCAGAGGGTAATATGATGAGGAGGAAATTTTGTGTGCTAGACTGAGTATAGGTTCTAGTTTCAGTTTAACCAAAGCAATCTTTAGCATTCCATAAGAGTGATTATTTTTTTCTAAAAAAATAAAGGAGTATTTAGATTTGTTTATTTTTATTTATACTCCATTCAGCCCCTTTCAACTAGGTTCTGCCAGAGAGTTAAGCCCTAATGCCCTGAGGCTTCTATTCTCTAATGAACTCTCTCTTATGTACCATCCTTGGAAGATTGAGAAAATGATCACTAAAATAATTTTCAGTTTTGTGGTTCAGATAAGGAAGCCTAATTGAGAAAGGCTGCAACTTTAAAATGATTCAAAATCTATTGTTTTTTCCTGTTAAAAGTCCTTTTAAATGCTAGTATGATTTCCCATTTAAGACGTTATGATTTCTATGTAGCAAAGGAGTGCTATTTACTAGTATAAAAATCTAAAAAATTTTAAAAAATAATGAAATAAAAATCTTATTAAAAATCTTGTTGACTTCTGCTCAAGGATTATGAATAGTTCTTTTAAAACTACATTAATTTTTTCAGTCCTCAGTTGGACAAGTATGAAATGTTAAGGCCTAAGCTGTAAGCTGCAAGTGAGAATAGATTACTATTTCCCAGCTGCCATTTTTAAGTGGATTCATTTTGCTTAGTCCAGAAGCAGAAAAGGCAGCCAAGTAACCTGTAAATCTGCATTTCAGTCTGAAATGGTGATGCTGAAGTAGGATCTGAGGATGGCGCCCTAGCCTCACAACTAATTTTCAGAGCCTTTTAGCTTTTCCAAATGTGCATACATTTAGATAATCCACGAATTGCTTATAGACATGTCCCTCTGACTTTACAGGTAAAGGTCAACTCCTGTAAAACAACATTTCAGTAAGTGAAATGTTGACTCATAGCCCACTTGTCTTTATTTACTAGGATTGAGAAAAGTTGACTCATAGCCTACTTGCCTTTATTTACTGAGATTGGGAAATTTAATTTGTTTTCACACACACACACACACACACACACACACACACACACTCCCATTACTTTTCCTTTTGGCCATTATTTGAGGAGAGCTTGGGGACCTTTAAGTTATTGTTTGGAAACGGGATGGACTTTTAAATTCCATCTCTGGCTACTAATATCACAATAATGAAGGAAATATAGATGAACTATTGTCTAGGCTTCCAGTTTACAGATGGAGTCATAACGTTATCCCAGAATTAGAGATTTTAAAAGACCTATATTATATAGTTCATTTCCTGCCACAATTTTAAAGACCCCCATATACACTTGTTTTAATTACAATCTGGTGAGTTTTGCAGATCTACATCTATAAAGCTGTATTTCCTTCAGCTTAGTGGTCTTATTTGAATGACTACATATGGAATAACATCAGTTCTGACCCGTTTGTGAATATTAATGGAGTGCTTACACAATGCAGAGTTTTCTTTCATTATTGGCATTTGAAAAACTTCTAATTTACATTAAACTTCCCAAGTTCAAGAACTTTACACAACTTTGCTTTGCAGATTTTAGCAAATAGGTTTCCATTAGGGGGCTCTCGAGGTTTGAGATGATCAGCCTTGATACCAATAATGCTCCGAAGCCTTTACTTTCTAACGTTCATCTCGCTCTCTCCCTTTTTGTTTTGTTTTATAGAAAAGGTCACGGATCGCCTACAGTGACGAAGTACGGAATGAGCTCCTAGGGGATGATGGGAATTCCTCAGAGAACCAGGTAGAATGCTAATCAGGAAGGCCCGGTGGGTGGCTGGAGGGTGAGGGAGGTCACTGGCACACTGGGCTCTCAAGCTGCTCCTTAACAGTATTAGCAGCAACTCATGTGGAAGCGATACTGTTTAATGCAAAGCTGGAGTCTTAATCAACTTCAAAATGTTTCTTGGAGATCTTACATTTAACCCTTTACCTTGTGATCACTGTCTGCTATCTTTTTAAAAAATCTTTTCTTCTCCTTTCTTTATTATTTGGTACTTAAGGAATAACTTGAAACACACTGTTTGCAGACAAAGCCAAGGTCTTCACCTCAAACACATGTAAAAGGAATAAAAAAGTACATAATGCAGCTTTGATAATAATGCAGTATAATTAAATCAACACTTGCAGCAAAACAAATGAAAGTAAGCTTTCAAAATTCAACAGGGCAGCTCCGTCTCCTATTCTAGACCTTCTTAAAATGCATTCACCAAAATGCAGATTTGTGGGCACCAGTGTGGAACTTCGATACTCACACAGAGGGCCGGCCTCTGTCAAATAAGAAGAATAGGAAAAGTCTCTTCTACAGTTTAAGATCTGCATTGGCAAAAAATAAGATACAATTTCTTCTTAAAAGGGCCTTACAACTTGGCTGTCATTTCTCATTGGATCACACAGCAATGTGATGAGTCTAATTAATGTCCCACTTCTTTCTTTGAATTAATACTGCAGACTCCATTAGTTCATGCGAATAACGTATATGACTTTTTTAAAAAGTCGTCTCAGGGTAGAGATGACTTGTAAAATGTCTCAGACAACACTAGTGACTTACTGTCTTTGACACTTTTGGAGAAAATAAATGATGGGAACTTCAGAAGCAAGTCCTGAGTGTGTTTATTCATATTCCTTTGGTAAGTATCTTAAAGGTCTTTACTCTGCCTAAATAAAAATGAACATAAATCATTCATGGAGTAAACCGAAACTCTAATAAGATAGTAAAACATAATATATTGGTACACATTAGAAAACTTGCATAATTGTATTTACCATTTCAAATGTATTACATTATAGGTCTATAAATGCCGAAACTATATTACTGCTACACTAATGTTAATATTGTAAATGGGATGACACTCATGAGATTAGCGCCCTCATCTATCCAATCCCCCAAAAAAGGGGAGAAGAATCACCAAGCTGATTGTGTTTGTTTTTGGAAAGATCTCACCTCATCCACTATTTGGATGTTATCAGCTTGAATTTAGACACGTAAACACGTTAAGATTTGACTTGGGATTTCAGCTTTCCTGATTGAAACGTGAGAACAGCTAAGCGAAAAAAAAAAATTAAGGAGCACATCAAACATAAAAGGGTGGTGGGATAAAGGGTTTTACTCATAATAGATTAAATAGCATGAGGATGAGAGAAAAAATATTGTCTTCCTATTTTAAGTGAGTTTTAGATTGTTCATATCTCTCGAATGAATGACTCATAATTTTATTTCATATCTTTACTGCAAAAAGAGCATTCTCTTTTTTGTAAAAAAGTGAATGCGTAGTTCCCATGTCAGTTCTTTAGAAAGCTATAGATCTTTCCCTCATATGAAACTACTGCTTAATGTAGAGGAAATAGAAAAGGAGGGGGTGTTCCTGTCTAACTCTGACTCCTTTATTGTAATAGATGCTGTAGTACTGTGACAGGGATCTCTCTCTCTCTTTTTTTTTTTTTTAAAGCATGTTCACTTCTCTTAATGGACATTTTATGTGCCTAAAACATTTGCCTTACACACCTATAAGTGTGATTTTTCTATGCCTAAAGAAAAATATTCTGCAAAAATAGATAGACTTCATATTTTCTGAATTTTTCAAATTATATTCCTGTCACTTTAAAGTGATTACGCAGAGATTTCCTCTGGACTTGTATAAATCAAACTTACAAATTCTGGATGTGCTTGGAGAACCTGAAGTTTAGTTATAAGGAGCTGTCATTTCAATAAATAGAATATGATAAATTATAGTCATGAGACAATGTTACTGTTAGATTATTAGTTGTGAGAACTTTTCATTCCAAAATTTGAATTAGGTTTGAAAGTTCAAAGAGACCACACTTAACTTTTTGGACATTTTGTTGCCACCTGTAACAGAATTTCCATACCATAATGAAGTCATTAAATTTTGTTTGGGGGCTTTTTATCATAACGTACGAATTAAAATCCCTCAAACTAAAACACATCCCTCAGCCAGGAATGGTCACTTGAGAATAACTCTTTATTCTGCATCAGTATTCATTCAGACTACGGAATCAAAACAGAAGCCCTTTCTTTAAAGGAAGAAAAGATTTTAAGTTGTCTCTTTATATTAATTTTTGTAGCTCAAGGGCTGAGAAGATAGTCTCTTTTTTGTGTACGTTTACCTATGACCTACATAAGAAAATGTTTTCAGCCCCAAACTAAGTATGTCTTCAAGGTAATTGTTGATAAGTTGATTTTCAGAACTTCTTAGCCATGTAATATTTAAGATAAACTTTTCATATAGAGAGAAATCTTGGAGATTAAGAAGAACTGAGACAAAAAAGCAGTATTTGTTTCACTGAAGTTGGGGTATATCTCAATTTAAAAAAAATATAGATCAGAAAAGGAAAATAATAAAGAATTATAGCAGTGGTTCCAAATAGGTAAAATAAGCTACTGACTACTGACTATAGTTATTTTTGATGCAACATGCACATCCTCCCTATAGAGGCTTCTTTATAGAGATTTAGACAAATGTAAACATCATCTCTATTATTTCTCATTCTGGCCATTTATAATGCAATTGTTTTAGGCACCTAAAACCTGGTTGTTCATACACATAATCTGCCAATTAACTATAAAGTATATTAATTTACTCTTATATAAACATTTCTGACATGATTAGAAATGTCAAGATTCCAGCAATTAAGAATTTTTCAAGTGCATCTTTAATGTCCCTCCCAAAGTATACAATTCCATTTAATTCCAAATTAGTTGCTTTGTGTAAATTCATTTCTAATTCATATCCATTTCATACAATCGAAAATGGCTCATTCCTAGTTTACAAAGAAGGAACAAAATTACCTACTTTGTACATTTGAGTATTGTTGGGTCATCAGCTTCCCAAGGACTATTGTCTTAGGCATTATGATTCTATTATTTTAAAATACCATGTTTTCTATTCCACATGGCAACATTTTAATTCTTTGAAAGAGTTGAGGTTTTGAAATGTAGTAGTGCTGTATTTAGAGTGGAAACTTTAATAATTATTACCTTGATTTAGTTTCATGAAAACCATTCTCAGGAAAGGGAAAGAAAAAAAAACATCTTATAGAATTAAATCCCCTAATCCCCTTCATAGTGGAGTATGATGATGGGGCACATAAAATGTTCCAGACTCTATTTTTGAACCCTAATAGTCTCTCAATTTCCATATGCACAATAATATTGATTGGTGAATAAATGTGAGTAAATGAAATTTTCGTAAGTCCTGAATAGAAGGTTCAAATCCACATCTAAGGAATAGGATATTCCTAAACATGCTGAAATTTTTGTGGTAAAGTAATATTTAGCAGATATGATTGCTTAATTTTTTTTAATACGAGGTTCTCTTAAGTTCTGATTTGGGCTTGCTGTGCATAAAGTGTGTCAAACTTCAGCTACAGACCAGGGGGTGAAGTCGGTCAATTTAATTCCCCAAGATCTAAAGAAGGTCGGTATCATTTCATATAGCCCTGGCAGAGCAGATCATTACCAGGCACAAATCTGTTCGTTACGTGCTGAGGGTTTATAGCAAAATAAATAGACTGTCATCATAAGTTCAGAAAATTGTGTGTTCGACCCACGATAATGTGTAAAGGGCGTTTAATAGAGTTCAGCATTTATTCGTTATCTGTATGCGGACAGAGACGGCAGTGCGTTATCAGCTTTAAAAAAAAAATCGGTAGTTCTGGGGGTCACGTGACCACACACACACACACACACACACACACACACACACACAGGCGCGCGCACGTGAACCCTCACATGCTCTGCAGTGCAGTTTTGATTTTAGCCACAGCAGAAGGCTTAACCACAAGAGATTCCACTGGTTCAAACCAGCGTAAACCAGATTTTTTCAGCCCACAAAGGAACAGATTACCTCTTGTATCAAATTCTGCATTGGGGGGAAAATCTTTGTTTCAAAAAAGATGTTGATTATCATAACTCAACATGGTGGCATGGCACATTTTCAAGTCGCCTACGATGGAGCTAGTAACTCAATAAAATACGAAATCACGACTTTCAGTCTAGTCTAAGCATTGTTAATTTTCAAAAATAGACCATCTTTTGTTTACTTGAATGAAAACTCACAGCCTAACTAAAAAAAAAAAAAAAAAAAAAAGATAAAGATTAAAACCCCTCCCATTACCTAGCTTAGCTACAAATCCGGTGTAGAGCTTGAATGCAGCCATGCGGCACAAACAAGATAGAACGTTTTTTGTTTGGAACCTATTGAAAAAACAAATGGGTAGCATTTTTAAACACTCATTGATTATGGCAGGGTGGCATGCCCCAAATGGTCTCAATTGCTGAGGAGTAGTTTTAAACTTTGGCCCTTTGAGTATCATAGTCAACTGAAGAAGGGTGCTCCCAGAAAGAAAAGATAGCTGTGCAATTAATTCCCAGATCGTCTGTTTCTGAGAATTAATGTTTGCCTTTTTCTCCCATGATGTTCAGATAGCAGAGAAAAGATACCTGTGTATGTTAGGCCAGGTAGTTTAGTTTACAATTTTACTTCTTGGGAAGAATGTGGTAGCTTTTCACATGAAACCAGATGCTTGACTCATAGACACTAGTCGGTAGCTGGGAGAATGAGTATATCAATTAAGAATAATTACAACATCCTGTATAGTGTGAAAGGACAGTATTAAAAGTTTCACTTTCACTAAATGCCTTGTGAGACATGATGTAATAGGTTCTTCACCCTCTTTATAAAAGATTCAAAACAGTTTTGAAATCTCATTCTTTTGCACTTGAAATACTTTTCGCATAGCAAATGAAATAACAGAAGAAGCTGAAATGCATACTGCCTTTCTTGAATTGGAGACAAAAACAGCATTAAGCATTGATAAACCTGGGCTATAGTCAACAATACTTTTAGAGAGACTTAATTCATGGCACGTTTCTCCCAAAGTAATAATTTAATTTATTGACCTGTATATGTCAAGTGTTGTAACAGATGTTACAGATATTTGGATGTTCAGAAATTATCTGTTGTAGACTTGAATTGCTGAGGATGCAAATTTTAGACCTAAATATGGTTTATAGTCTTTTACAACATTGGTTTCAGTTTCTCTTAATCGCAGAAACTGTAGCAGTCATCTCAACTATACGATATTTGATTTCGAATACTGTGAAATACATCCACACCCCCAGCACACACACACACACACACACACACACACACACACAAACACATAATGAATCAGATACATGTTTACGTCCATTTTCTAGTTTCTAAAGAGTTAAAGTAACTTGTGTTATCTGTTATATTTGAAGGCAAATAAAAAATGTCCTACAAAGGAGAATTAAAACTTTATCACAGGGAATTTAGTAGCAAGTAAAGAGTGGCTTTTCTGGTTTGACTTCGGTGAGAACAGACTGCAGTACAGACAACAGAAGAGAACTCATGGCTTTAAATGGCCCAGTTTATGGGATGAAGAAAATGGAAAAATGAAGAAAGCTCAAAAATTTAAAAAGATAGAAAATCACCATGTGATTGCAGTAGCCTCTTAAGAGAAACAAACCCTAGAAATTAAGTCTGATCTACACACTATTTCTAAGGATAGTTAAATATTTTCTGATACTATGTCCTAAATATTATCACTCCCGGCATGCTTTCTTCTCAATTAAAATAATGTCACCTCCAAATACAATCCTATTACTAGAGTGGGCCCACCTATGATATTAACTAACATAATTATTTGTTTTAAATATTTATTAGGACAAAAGCATGGACCATTAATCATTTTTATTTGTACAGAAAATCTGAAATCAGTTGTCAAGATTCAAAACAGAGAAACATCCTGAAAACTTGTATATACAAAACCTCTTCAGTGGTACATTCTTAGAAGAGAGGAACAGTAAACTTGTTTTCTTTCTTTATAATATAGACTTCTATGAAGTCATTCCCCTTTATTTCATGATGGTGTCTTAGATGTACTTTAAAAGAGAATTTCACACTATTCTCTTTGTTTAATGTGACAGTGTGAGAAAGTGATCTTTATTCGTTCAAAAAACTCTGCATGTAGTCTCTGTTTAGGTTCTTTTAATGTGTTTGTCTGTGATTTTTAAATGCTAAACATGTAAACAGATAAATTGTCAATGTTAATTCTGTATCCTGTCACACAACTGATCTTTCTTTCCTGCCATTTCTTTCCTTTTTATCTTTTTTTTTTGTGCATTCATGTTGCAGTTGATAAAATTACGTGAAGAGGTGAGTACTTCCTAGCTTACTTTTTTTTTAATTCTGCTTTTCCCTATAAAGTTGAATTTCTAAATCTGAAGTAAGATCTTTGGGTTCATTTTTTTCCAGGAAAATTTACACATAGCAAAAGTATTGATTATATCGTTAGAAATGCTCTTTGGTGACTATCTGTTAAAAAAAAAACACAAACTCTAATCATGCTTATCACAGTGATCATTTTTGTGGGTTGGTATCTGGAGAAAATTCATATTTTTAAGGCCAAAAAGAGCCAAAAATATAGGGCTATCTTAAAACTTTAGCTAAGTGTAGTTTTAATGTAAACTGACTTCAGATTTGTTTTATTTGTATTGGTTTCTCAAAAAAGTCAATATGATTAAAATGTTTTTTTTTTCCCTGACATTCCAATTTACTGAAAACTCTTTTTAAATAACCCAAAATTCTTAGGTCCAACACAAGATACCATGAATCTGTTTTCCTTTTAGGGAAACACATATGTTATAAATGCTCTACTAGTCTGTGTACACAGTTACTTCAGAATAGCCAAAGCTCTCCTCATTGTTAAACACTTTCCTTTTTGTAGGAAGTAGAACCCACGTGAGTTCTCATTTTTCTGAGTTGCTGGCCTATATTATAATGCAGCTCCAGACCTATTTGTGGCCCAGCAAATATTAACAGCAATGTTTATAATTTTATCCCTGTATCAGTGAGGGATACTGGGTGATTCTGGCCTTGTTCTTGTTTATTTGTTTCTAATTAGGCCAAACTTAAAAAAAAGATGTTTTGGTACTCATTTTCAGAGATAAAACAGTTACATTTTTTTTACTAAGTGAGGTTGAGTTTTGTTACTTTTATATTAGGACACAAGGTAATGGCCCATTTTACAATTTAAAAGTTGTCTAGTTGCTTCTAACTAGGACTGTGAATTATTTTGAATTCAGATTGACTGCATTGATTGAGATTTTCCTAGAATTTTATTTTATTGGTATGTCATCATTCTGTAGGTGATATGAATGCTAAATGAGAGGTTGTAGACATTGGTTTTCAACAACTCTTCTGATTTAAGGTGCATTAATGATGTCCTCTCTTAGTAAAAGTAATAGTGATAAAAAAAAAAAATAAAGGGTGAAAATATATAAAGCCCTTACCCTCCAACCTTCTTGTGTATTTTATGGAAGCAGATGTATATACTAAATGAATACAATCAATTGCAGTTTTGTTATATGAGATTTTTCTTGAGGAGGGTATTACTCAACATTATTTTTCTGCGAGACAGAATACCTGCTTGTATGTATTTACATATACCCCATACTTAGGTGAAGAATCTGAATTTTCAAATCTTAATGGAACTAACAATAGACTTGAAAACCTCTTGTGAGGAAAGTACACAAAGCTCTTGCCCCTGAATTTAGTGAATATAATTAATAAAGTATTATGCCTTATTACAATCAGCATTTCTGACAGATTTATTTTTGCTGAATGGTATGGGCGTAGAAACCTTAATTCTAAATGTTGGAAACGTCATGTCTGCATTTCTTTTAAAACACGTTTTATCATCACTTTATGGCTTAATTCTTTTGTTGTGCCTGTAGCAACAGTTTTGTCAATAATGGTTTTGGACTGCGTGTTTCCAACACTGTAACCTGAAATGGAATTGTACCTGGAAGAATGAGTTCATTCAACTAATAGAATAATATACTCTGGAATATTATTTTGCCAGTCTTTTGATATGGATGCAGCATTGATATTTGTGAAATACATTAGGACGATGGCAGGTGCACTGACACATGGTTTGCTCAGAGACCGTTGTTTCCCAGCCAGGATTCTAATAGTAATCAGCGAGTGTACCCCCAGATTTCCTCTGTATACCTCTCCTAAGAAGACAAGCACTCATCTGTTTCAAAATAGGACATTTTGCTGTGTTTGGAAACAAAGTGTGCCCCCATCCCTTCCTTGTGATGCTCTTCTCCGGCTCAGTTCTGGGGCCGGAGCGTGCCTGGAGGCGGGCTGGTGTGCACAGGGAGCAGCCCCGGCGTCGGCCGTGCCGAGCCCTCCGTCTGAACCCTGCATCTCCAGCCCTGCACACTGCGCAGCTCCTCACGCGAGCTGAGCTCTGTCTGAAGCTCCTGCACAGCTTCACTTACCTGCTTTGAAAGGGCTGAGGAGAGGGTGAGAGAATGAGTTTGGGATGGAGTGTGGGGGCAAGTTGAAAGCATCCGCTGCTACTGTAGTGTGTTGCCTTTCATTTTCAGAGACCGGGGCAATGCACAACTAAGGGAACAATGTAAATAGCACAGCTGTTACAAGAACTTGATTTTAGCTTGACTTAAGTGAAGAGGTTCCAAAATACAAAGTGAGGTCCTGCTAGAAAGCTGCTGGTAAACTGGTAGTCCGCTTGCGTGCGGATTTACTCTGGTAAAATTGAACTGTCCTGAAGAAGAGTTACTTCCATGATTCAGGAATATGCATTTTTCTTAAGTTCTTTTAGAAATTTGCTGTTCATTAGAGCCATACACTTAATAATCTGTTTTAGCTGCCTTTCATGGAATTCTAAGAATCATCCTATATTTAAATGCTTTGTTTCTTGTATTATCTATTATCATATAATTAGACTGTCCATTTCCAGTACTGAGCTTTGATTTTTTTTTTAAATTTATAGCAGCTAAATGTTCTCTTTCAATTTAGGGATTTCATCCAATATGAAAATGGGCCAAAAGATTTTTGTTCTGTTGTTCTGAATTAAAATTCAGATTTACTCTTGATTTCACAAATCTGGTATCTTCTTAGAGGATTACCAGTTTGAAATTAAGTCCTTTGTTAAGGTAGAAAACAACATTCAGAGAAGGGAAGAACAATCCCTATGCCCAAAACCTGCATGCAGGGAAAATTAGGAGGAAGAAAGCTATTTTTGACAAGCTGAGTGAAGTGTTTAATTTTCTTTAAAAATAGTCATATATGCCAAACACAGAGAGCTCCCCTGCTTTTCTTTTTCTCAATTACAGCCTTTAGTGAGTTAGCATTTTCATGATATAACCATTCTTTCCTTCCTCCCTTTTATTTATTTAGGTTTTTTTTTTTTTTTGGCGGAGGGAGGGGCAGCTTTTCTCTTAATTTCTCCCCTGTATATTAGACAACTCTATTAATTATTATAGACTGTTGTTGCAGCTTTCCTGACCTTCACATCAAGTCCTATCTCTCTGTTCTAAATGCATTGTTTTAATGATTCTTCCACCCCCCGCCCCCCCCAGGCCCTTCCCCCCCAAAAAAAATTTCAAGGAAAGCTTTGATGTGGCTTTAGCTGCCTCCAACGTCTGGCCGCATCTCAGATGTGTCACCTATGCCGGGAGGGAATAAGGAAATCACGTTTTGAATGGTAATGATAACATACTAATCACTTCCTTTCTTTGAAGATGGAAGCGAGATATTCTGTCAGCATCCCTGGCTGCTAGAGCTTGGAGGCACTGGTCTAGGTGTATTAGCTTAAGTGTGCATGTCAATACAGCTTGCATCTCCACGATCCATGGGGGCTCATTAGAGCAAGGTAGATCGTTTCGCTCGACAGCCACTCAGATAATATGTGTGGCACCTCCTTTTTTATTATTATTAGAAAGCATTTCTTCGATTTTAAATGACATCTGTCAACAACACAAAGTTGTAGGAGTTGTGGTTGCATTTTTCCTTTCTCTTTGACCAGATACCAAAACTGATTTGAGGGGGGGAAAGTGCTAATTTATACAAATACTTTTATGCATGCACACACAGAGAAATACACAGATACACGTATTCACATGTTTCTAAGTATCCAGACATATGTGCATCTGTACACACACACGTTCACGTGCATGCATGTATTCTTATTATTCACAGCCATGATTAGTTTATAAATCTGTTGGTCAACCTGAATGGATCTAGTGGTGATCGTTATGGTTAAAAAAGAAAAAAAAAAAACAAAACAGCCTCAATGCAGAAAAGAAAGTTGAGAAGTTGAGAATTTGGGGAAAATCCTCTCATTATCCCATCCAATATGAAAGAGTATATATAATTATTATCATTTTAGTTCACAGTCTAAAACAGTAGGTGTCAAAAGTTCACCTTCAGTCCAATGTCATATATTGGGAATAAATCCACATTTTTGAGTATCTGCACATGGATAAACATGTTTCTCTTGTTTCTTGGTGGTTACCCCAACTTGTCTTAAAACTAGAATAGCATTTAGTATTCTGCTTTAATAGTGAATATTCTATATGGCATCTTGCACACTTCCAAAACCAGGGAGTGGGGGGGGGGGTCATTCTCTTAAAATAAAGTTACTTGTTAAAAATTACTATCTGCAGGAATCAAGGAGCAAATGAGTTTTAAAATGATTGCATATTATAAATAAATACAAAATAGGCATCATAAATCTATGCAAGGGCCTCACGCGTCTACTCTGCTGAAACAGGAAAGATCTAGTTGGCTCTTGTCTTTGTACATTTCTCAGTGTTTGGGAATAAGATTCATGTGACCACATACAATATGAGTCTGCCTTTTAAAACAAAAAAAATGGATGGTCCATACACAATTGATTGGAAATCTGCCCATAAGAGATTTACTTAAAAATTATCTGTAATGGCTAGTGACTCCCCGCCCCCCTCCCAGAAATGTTAGAGCATATGAAGGCATTAATTTTTTTTTAAGGCAAAAAAAGAACATTGTAGACGGCCGTCTGATTTTTTTCCCTTTTTCTTTTTCAGAGGGCACATCTGCTCGATAACACAGAGAGGCTGGAAAGGTCATCTCGGAGACTAGAGGCTGGATACCAAATAGCAGTGGAAACCGGTAAGAATTCTGAGAGTGAGCAAATTGTCTTGCGTATGCACAGCAGTCTTCACAACACATGACATTTCAGGGAAACTTCAAAGGAGTAGCAGAGACAGCAGCCCGAGATGTGGTTTACATATTGGGGAGACAATTGGGAGCTTATTTGCGCTTATCTTTTTTCAAGTTAAAAGGCATGACATCTACCGAAAACAGTTCCTGAGGTTTAAAAGTATACATCTGAAAAGAGATGGAATACTTTGTCTAAATTCTACATTTGTCTTAATATGCAGTTACATGTTGTCAGTTTACCCACCCGCGATGATTGCTAGCACACGGTGCGGTCTCCAGTTGTTGCCCCTTTACATTTATTCGCATATGTAAAAATTAACATTTTAATCAGTCTAAATGATGCGAACTAAGGGCAAAAGCAGTAACAATATCTAGCTTACCTTGCTTATTTCTCCTGATGTTGAAAATGATTCCTAATGATCCCATTTGTTTTAAAAAAGATCATAATCAGACATGGGAAAAGAAAAGCCGTAGTGAGCAGCAAGCCTAATGTTCATGGTAATCTTATTAGCATTAGTTAATACTGTCCAAACTTTTGGGTTGAATTAACACTAGTTATTAAACACTAGTTATTAATTTTGGAAAACGCAGCCTGAATTTGACATCTAAGACTTGTCTACTTAAAATAGACAAGCTTTTTTTATTACAAATGTTTCATGCTATGACTGTATATTTTTATATAGTAAATAAATATCTGTTAACCCCTGAGGAGTCATCCCATTTCTTATAATTTAACTATCTTTTTTGTTTTGTTTTGTGAAATACATATTGTATAAAATTTATCTTGCATAGTTTGGATATCCCTTGGCTAGTGTGTAAGGCACAAAAATACGTGATTAATAATTCCATCAATATTTTAAATTTAGTGTTATGAAAATGTTTATTTTGGAAGAGCAGGTATAATGAAAATGATTCCAAATATTTGTTTTTGTGAATGCCTGGTGTTTTTTCTTGACCTGCGTTCATGAGTATCCTGTTTTGGCTTATTACTATATGATGAGGTCTAAGGAGCTGAATCAGAATAACACAAATGGCATTGGCATTGTAGTAATGGTGAGAAAACTAAAAAAAACCCACATAATTCCTCCAGATTCATTAACAGCGGGGGCAGCCCTTCTTTCTAACATTATTAATAGATTGGCTTTCTGCCCTGATTGGAATAAAAGCCACCTTTCACTTGTTCTTTTGGTCCTTGGGCTCAGCTTTAGAAGTGACTTTCCTGGTGAAAAATGTCAATAACAGAAAGAGCCCTGAAGGTGAGGTCAAAAGACCAGACTGGTTTGAGCTCTTGTTTGTGTGACCTTGAGCAGATCACATAACCTTGTAGTCTCAGTATCTACTTCAGTAAAATGGAAATAATATTGCATGTCTCAGAACATTCCTAAGAAATAAGGGGTGCCTGGCTGGCTCGGTCGGCTAAGTGTCCAACTCTTGATTTCAGAACAGGTCATGATCTCAGGTTGTGAAATGGAGCCCCATATTGGGCTCCATGCTTGGCATGGAGCCTGCTTAAGATTCTCTCCCTTGCCCTACCACTCTCCCCTTCCACCCTCCCCACCACTTGCACACTCTCTCTCTAAAACAAAAAAAATGAAACAAAACAAAATCCTAAGAAACGATGCCATGTGTTAAAATGTTTTATATAACATAAAACTCATAAAATTCTACAAATACAAATGTTATATTAATTTGTGTTCATTTGATGATATACAGGCACTTATCTTTATTTACAGAAAAAAATTTATTGTTAAAATTTGTATACATTTAAGGAATTTTTAAAAATTGTTACTTTGACATCCTTGGGGAAGGTATCCCTATAACTACTGAACATCTAAGGACTCTCTTTGACAAAACATCCCATTGGTGAGTCTCTTTCCACATGGGACTGAGTTGAGTTGGGCATATTCTTGCTTTGACCTTGATCACAGGACTTGATTTGTCTGATTGGGCTACCTTTTCTCTTTCACTGTACCATTCATGTATTTCCCTCCCAAAGCTTAAGGAAGTTATCAAAGAAGATCACAGATACTAGAGGATCATGCATTGATCGAGATGATAAGATTGAATGGAATTTGATGGTTATCCCTTTTGATGTGTGCTAAAATACAACATTCACATCAGCTTATCAATGTAGTCAACATGAAAAAGGTCACTTTAAGAGTATCCCCAAAACCTACCTCCATCCCCTTGAACTTTTTGATAGGATACAATGGTAGGTTATAAAGTTTTGTAAAATTAGATATCTATTTGTCATATAAAGCTTGGGAAGCTTTTGCAGACTATAAAACCAAGTCTGGGAGGAGGACCAGGGTGGGCTTTGTGGATAATGACAGGAATGGTACAGCCTTTGCCAAGACAGAGGTCATCACGATAATTCATTTTCTTGAGTTTGAAAGTGGAGTGAGAAATGAGAAAGCAGGCACAAAGCCTTTGTCCTGTCCTTGCATTTCCCTAAAGTGTATGAGGAAAAAAGTCATGTGACAGGTGCCATGTTCTTTCTGCATTTACTGCTTCACATCTAGCCCTCAACCTGGTCAGGTCTCGTCAGCCAGCAGCTCTGTGTTTTGATTGTGATGTAAATTTATGATGCTAATCGTTGTGTTATAATATTAGTAGAAGAACATTTTTCAAGAGGAAAAACTTATAGCACTCACTATTTTCTTTTTCTTAAAGACTATGAAATGCATGGAGGAAAAGCAATAGAAAAGCTAGTATGACCTAAAAGAGCAGAACAGAGGGAAATGGTTTCCAACTATTGGTCTAATAGTTCTTTGACCACAACAGGAGTTTTCACCAGACCACAGCAAAATGAGAAAAAAATTGCAAAGTAGTGACTTTCTCATAAGGCTATGCTTTTTCTAAGATGATGTTTTTCCTATTTTGGGGTGATAAAAGATGGGATAGTTTTATGCTATGATATAAATAGTAGGTGGAAGTTATATATTTCTTTTCTCTTACCGGAAAAATAACCAAATTGACAACCCTGTTTGGGTCCTCTGAAATGTTTTTTGAAATTTTACTTTTCCACAAAATCTAGGACCTATTGTCTGATGGGCTGAATTGAAGAATAAGAGAACAACTCCATCATTTGGGCTGGTAATTAATCAGCTCTGTGACTTTGAGAAATCACTTAACCTCTCTCTGTGTGTTTTGTATTTGTAGAATGGAAACGTGACACCAGATTCTATGAATTCCAAAAGGTTGTTACAAAATAAAATGAGATCATATATTCAAGTTCTTAGGAAGTAAAGAGAGCTCTGTAACAGTCATCATTTTTATATGTTACTGTCAGCGAAAGTGGTCATCTTTCAAAATTATTGGTAAGAGCTGTCAACAAAAATAAGTAAACTTTTTTATTCATTAACTTGATAACTATTAATGGGAAATATCATAAAAGAAAGTGTGATTATTATATATGATCAATTATATGCAAATAGAATGGAAAGCACATTAGTTTGACCACTAATATCTTCCTAGCAAATAATGAAATTCATCTTCTAAAGTTCTTGAATCATTTATTTTGCCAAATTCGCAGTTACTGTCTCTTGAAGAACAGCGACTCAGCAGAGGGACACATATCCAGAATGCATTTGGTCTTAGAAAAAAATACATGATTATTTCTAAATGCCGTTTATACCTTGATATATGTTGAGTTTAATACCAATAAGTTTCTTTTGTGGATCCCTTCCTTTTTGAGAAAATTGATGAGATTACAAGTTAATTGAACAGCTGTATTTAGAAAAGAGACAGATGGGAGAGTAAATTATATTAAACTAAAGAGCTGATGGTAGGTCATATTAGTGTAAGACTAACATCAAGAAGGACAGTTATCAGACTCATTAACAATCTACCTTGAGAGTGATTGTCAAAGACCAAACACCATGGTGGGTGTATGAGCCCTTGGCTTGACTCCGTTTGACATTTCTTATAAGTTCTTGTCCTAAAATCTGTGAATAAAAAGTGACTCTTCCTTTTTTTCATTTACTGCTATAATAATCAGGTATGACTCTTAGCTGTGGAGATAACCATTTTGTTTGACTTAAAACTCTGAGTTATCTGCCCTTTAGTCTGAAAATATTTTTCTTTCCTCTGAAGTAAATTATCCCCAGAATTACAGCAGGCACAAAACTAATGGAAACTGTGTGGTTAATAAACAAAATAGGTTGGAAGAGAAATTAGACAAGGGCAGAAATGCAAGGCACACTCTCTCCTTTCAATAGGTAAGCAGATAGTTTAAGAGAGTCATGACTCTCCCACCCTCTACCTTAAATGGGCCCAGTGTACCAGCCAGCACATCTCTGGAACCATGAGAGTGTCTTCCTACAGTTAGTAGCCTCATGTCTTTGAGGAGTAGGCTGTAGCAGTTATTAACCTTGCTCCTGCCATCCCTGAGTATCTAAGCATTATGAGTCAGCACTCCTTCACCTCGGAGTCACATCAAGCCACCCAGCTCTGGTGTTCCATTTGGTCATTGATCTCTTTACAACAAGGTGCTCTACTTTGGCCAACCTTCCTCCTGTGAAGAAAAGGTGCTCCATCCTTCCTTCAGGTCCCTGCAGGCTCTCCACCATGGACCAGGGATTGAGCATATGTAGAAATAATGCAATGTTTTCTTTTCTCAGTATTCTGCCTTTGTTATCTCTTTAATCTTCACCACAACCCTCTGTCACTACTCTTTTCTCCTATTACAGATGGAAAGACAGGTACAGAGAGTTTATTTGTCCATACTTATAATCAAGCTAGAAAATAGTACAGCCAGACTGTCTGATTCTATGCTCTTAACCAAGAGACCACACTTAGATATGAATGGGTCCCACATACCTAGGTTTTCCAAAGAGATCTGTTTGTAGTGCAAATATGTCATGTTCTCACATTTATTAAGTTCCCTTCACATAACTTATTCCAAAACTGACTATTGAATACAGTCTACCATGTGCTGAGGACACAGT